CAAAAGCTCAAAGGCCCTCAGAGGTCTCCCAGCCTTTACTTAAGCCACTGCCTTGGGAGTAGGCTCCCTCTAGTTAGAGGTTATCAATTCAATTTAAACAGACACTTGTTAAGCACCTACTATATGTAAGGCACTACACTGGGCACTTGGGAGATTAAGGCAAAAATGAAACAATTCCTGTCGTCAAGGAGCTTATACTCTGTTGGGGGTGTGGATATAATATGTACCCAGGTAAGTAAATATGAGATAATTGGGGAGGGAAGGGACACTAATAACTAGGGTATTTGGGAAAGACACCTGAGCTAGGGAGTCCTGTGGCAGGTGTGGAGGTGGACTCTAAGTTCGGGACAGCCAGTAACAGTGCTTGTGAAAGAAAACAATGATGAGCCTGGGGACAAGGTAGGAAGCTAGTTTGGCTGGATATGAGTAACATGAAATAAAGTTTGAAAAGGCAGGGGGGAGCTAGGCCATGCAGAATGCGGGGAGAGGGGGAGAATTAACATAGTCTTCAAGCCCAGCTAGGCAACCATCTGTCTAAACATGCTTATTGATCAGATCTGCTGCAGAGGGGACTTCTGGTCAAGCATGGGTTTTGGACTCGGTGGCGCCTTCCAATTTTAATTCTGAGAAGCACAAATTCCAAGTACAACACCCCTGACATTTGGTTACCCAGCCTCTGCTTACATACTCCCAGGGGACAGGGAACTCACTACTTTACAGGGTGTGGTAAAGAACACAACTTGAAATGAGAAGGATCTGAACCGTCTCAGCTCTTTGCCTGCTAAAACAGCTGGGTGGCCATGAACAAGTCCCTTACCTCCAGAAACACCATTTTTTTAAATCTGTAAAATGAGGATAATCCTGGTCAGCCAGCTTTCTGATCAGCTCTTACCAATACTAAGGCTATAACTCACCTCCTAATAACTGACACACTGCCCCAGCTTCTCTGCTTTGAAGTCATGCAAAACACATTCAATCTTTCTGCTCTGTGACAAACAGCAACTGGTCTATTTTTCTTTAGGCAAAATATCCTCAGTTCCCCAGTATAATAGTTCAATTGAGATAGACCCTAGAGAAGGTAGAACCTACCCTAGATCTGTTTTTAGAGTATTCTGTAGTAGATGGGTACATCTAGAGTCATTTCTATAGTGTTACTGAAATGTAAGTTACGATGTTTACAGACTCTCAGGGCTGGAGCCCAGAAGTTACTAATCCAATCTTTACCAGACTACTGACCTCAGTCCTCGAAAATGAGTCATCCAGCTTACCCTGAAGATCTCCAGGGAGAGAAGTTCTTCCTAGGACCTGGGCCCAGGAGCAAGTTTTCCCATACATTTAGTGGAAATTCATCCTCCTGTACCTTCTACTCACTTCTGGTTTTGCCCTTAGGGGCCAAGCACAACCACAGCCCTTCAAACACCTGAAGAACAGAATCCCCAAGTCTCCTTTTCTCCAGCTGAACCTTCACCAGGAAAGGGGCCTGGGCCTTATTGGAGCTAGAAGGGACCTCTGAGCTTATCTAGTTCAAATTTGTCATCTGACAGCCAGGAAGGGCTGGGGATGGATAAGAAGAATACCTGGGGCAGTCTACAGAAGAGGGAGGGAGGGAGGGAGGAGAGGAGAGGGAGAGGGAGAGAGAGAGAGAGAGAGAGAGAGAGAGAGAGAGAGAGAGAGAGAGAGAGAGAGAGAGAGAGAGAGAGAGAGTGTGTGTGTGTGTGTGTGTGTGTGTGTGTGTGTGTGTGTGTGTGTGTGTGTGTGTGTTGCGGGGGAGCGGTACAAGATAGGGCTGGTTATGTGTGATGGGTCTAGAAAGGTTTCTAGAAATCTTCTAGGGGCAGGTGGATTGACTTGAGTCTCCTCATTCCCCACCTGGCTGCATTATTCTGGAACTTCTCTCAAAAGGAATGACCTCTCCACCTTGCCTCAGGAGCTCCCAGTTGGAATAAACTCATCATCCCATAAAATCCCATCAGCTCCATCACTACCCTCAGCCTCTAGGATAGGAGGGTGGGGCCAAGATCTACATTTAAGGAAGGGGCTAGGCTCAGGGACTTCATTTCTTACTTGGCTGCACTACTCTGAACTTCTTCCAAAGAAGGGGAGTCCCTTCTTTGGGTATCCCCACCCCATTTTCAGCTTCCTTTTGTGTGCAGTCTTCCATCCTTAGAGTGTAAGCTCCTTGAGGGCAGAGACTGTCTTTTTCTATCTGTATCCTCAGTGCTCAGCAGTAGTTTAAGAAAGAAAAGTTCTGGGTGCTGATAGACCTGGGGGCATTGAAAGCGTTTCTGAGACAGGTGGCATAAAGTGAGTGGGCTTCCAGGGATATATGATACTGGGAGACCTCTGGGTTTCTGAGGTGACTGGGCACAGGTAACTGGTGGGGGTTGGGGGATTTTCTGGTAACAGGTCTGGAGGAGTTCTGGGGGTGTCTCTGATGAAGTGGGTGAGCTGTTGAGGGGGACCTTTGAGGGTCTCTGTTGAAGAGGGAGGTTCCCCGAGGAATGAGATGGGGATCTCTGCAGAGCTCAGGTTAGGCAGGGAAGCTTGAGAGGAACTTTGGTGGGGTCCGTGATGAGGCAGGGGAGCCTCTGACAGCGTGGGAGGGTTCTGGGGGGCACCTCCAGGGGTCTCTGGTGAATCAGAGGAACTTCTGAGAGGATTATTAGGGTTCCACCTGGGCAAGACAGGGAACCTTCTGGTGGCATATAAGGAGTTCCAGAGGGACATGTGAGAGACGGAGGGCTTCTGGGGGGCATGAGGGTGGTGGTGGGAACTCTGGGGGGGCCACTGCGGAGTCAGGGGAACTTTGGCTGGCATGTGGGGGTCGGGGGACACCTCTGGGGGACCCCGACGAGGCAGGGGGCTTCTGGGGAGTCTCTGGCTAGGCCGGGGGCACACGGTGGGTCGCGGTTTCCAGAAGACCCTGGGGTCTGTAGGGCGCCGCAGGAGACCCTGGGGTCTGTAGGGCGCCGCGGGCGGAGGCTGGAGGCGGGGCAGGGAAGGGCCCTGGGGGCGTCAGCAGGGCCCAGGGCGCACGGGGGCGCTGCGGCCTCCTTCAAGCGCGGGGAGCCGGGTCTCAGCCCCGGCCCGGCCCAGGAAGGCGAGCGGCGGACTCCACACTCACCGTGACTTGCGTTACTTGCGGCCTCCCCTTCAGCCGGTGCAGCTGCCGAAGGCGCCGCCGCAGCTCCGGAACCCCCCCCCACCCCCAACACCGCCCGCCTTCCCTCCCGGCTGCCCTCCGAGCCGGGTGGGGAAGGGCGGGGCACCGGACCGCTAGGACCAACCGGCAGATCGGAGGAGCAGATGGGCGGGCATGGCAACCAATGGCAGAGAGGAAGGAGGGACGCTCTGGAACCCGGCCCCCCAAGGAGGCGGGAGCAGTTCAAATGGACAAACCACACATCCAGTGACAGGCCAGTGCCGGGCCGAGAAACACCGGTACAGGCCAATCGGCAGCAAGTTGACCGCCGTTGCTACTTCCGACCCGGCTTCCAGTGCGTGCTGCGTTGAAATGAGCCCCCTAGACAGCTGGGCAACTCTCCCTGGTACCGCCTTCGCTGGGGTAGCTGGAGAGCCAGGTCAGAGCCCCGCCCTCCACGCGTGTTAGTGCCCAGCGTGGACCCGCACATGAACTTGAGCCGCATCTACAGATTCTCTGCCCGCCCCCTCTACCGGCATCCCTCGTGTCGCATTCAGGGGCTTTAGATGTAAAATGACCCCTGGGGACCCAGGTGTTTTCCTAACTAACCCCAGCAGGGAACAAGGACCCCGAGGTCACGCACTCCAGCGCAAGGGCTCAGCTGTGCTGCTTTCCAGCACAAACCCTGCTCCAAGTCTGGCGACGTGCCTTACACATTCCCCATTCATGCTCCCTCTTGGCTCTCTGCCTAGAGTGGCAGCGTGGAGTAGTGGAAACTGTGTGGGGGTATGGGTGTGTGTGAGCTGGACTTGGGTTTGAATCCAGACTGTGACACTCAGTACTTGTAGGACTCCCGGGACAAAACCCTTAGCCTCTCAGCCTCTGCATCTGCGAATGAGCATAAAAAATACTTGCACCAAGGTTGTGAACTCAGTATAGAAATGAGTTATTACATTGTTCCCAAGTATTACTCATTTTTCAAAAGGCACAGCTGTGGCCTCACCTCCTACATGATGGAGCCCCATTTACTTTGCTGATCTTTCCCTTACTTTGGATTCCTTCCTTACACGATCTGCATATCACTCTGTCTTCCTTTGCCTTCTGTGATCTTAATGTGGACATTTCCCCTAGTGGTGCAGATAGCCCACCAATGCAACCATGCCCCACTCACCACAACTCTTGCTCCTCTCCTACTTCTAAGGTCACGGGGTCACCAATTTTCTGGATATAATGAAGTTTGTTTTCCTCTTGTTGATTTCTCCGACCCAGCTCCTCTTCCATTTGTAACACTCAAATTTAGCACAGTGCCTGGCACAGAATAATTAAGAGATTTTTAGATCACATTCTCTCAAAGAATATTAAGGTGGGAGTTCTTTGATACCCCATCAAGCCTCTTATTTTGAATGAAAACAAAAAAGGGGAAGAAAAGAACCAAGACTGGGTGGGGAAAAGAAGCTATTCATGAGTCAGGGTTAGAATTGTATCTCATCTCCAGTCACCCAGAAAAGCATTGACTCAGCTGGTGACAGGGGCCACAGAATAGAGCTCTATACCTCTGAATCTTTTCCAACTCTGAGACCCCTCGTCTTTCTTCCTGGGGTTCAGGGAGGCAACGGAAAGAGGAATGGAATCCATCCCTGTGATCCTGGGCAAGTGACTTCCTCTCTCAGAAAGACTTTTCATTTAATTAAAAAACAACATTTATTTAGCGCCTGTGCTAAGCGCCGGAGGTACAAAAATTAAAAACTGACGAGAATGAATGAAGCATAGAAAAACACCGTGACAAGTCCGGGGTTACCAAGGTCACATAGGTTAAGCCTCAGAAGCAGAGCTGGAACCCAGTCCCGCGTTCTTTCCACTCTATCGTGGCCTTTCCTTTTTGTAACATTGACGGGAACTCAATGAATGGTCCTAGGAAGGAGGGAGGGAGAGCTCTTCCAGGGTTGAGGGAAGGGGCGGGCCCTTCTTTCCCGGACCCTAAGTGCTGAGGGAGCCGGTTTCCGCACGGCCGACAAAGGCCAGAGCACAACATGGTGGCCCCTGGGACGGGCTGAAAGATAGGGGCCGGCGCTGGCCTTGCCTCTGACACAGCCTGGGTGACTGAAAGACCGGACGGCCGTGAGGTCAGAGGAGGTCAGGCCTCCAGCGGGACAGCTGCCAGCCTCCCGAATTCTCCTTTCCCGGGCGCTCCCTTCCTCCGCCTAGTGACGTTTCAGCCTTCTCTCCCTAGCGGGGGAGCCCCTCCAGAAGCCCCCGCCTCCCTTCCCGGGAGCAGCGGGCTCCGCTCCAGCCCCGCGTACCCTTCTCTGGGTCCGCATCCCTCCCCGATCCCCGGCTCTGCTGTGGCAGCTGCGCTGCCTCGGTGCTCCTCTTCCTCTCTGGCCCCGCCCCCCCTTGTCCCCTATCCCCCTGCAAGCTCCCCTACAGCCGCTAGTCCCGCCCCCTTCTCGTGCTCTCCCCGGCCCCTCCACGTGCTCGGTTAGCCCCGCCCCCTCCTCCCGTCTCAGCCCCGCCCCCGAGCCCACGCTCGCCACCTCCATGGCTGCGGCCCAGAGCTCCGGGGAGAGGATCGACATCCAGACGAGCGAGGGGCCCCCGGCCGGGGCGGGCGCCGGCGGAGAGGAGAAGACCGGGAACGGCTGCCCGTGCGGGACTGCGCCGGGGCCGGGGCCGCGGCGGTCGTGGCGCCAGAAGTGTGCCTCGTACGTGCTGGCGCTGCGGCCGTGGAGCTTCAGCGCGTCGCTGAGCCCAGTGGCGCTGGGCAGCGCGCTGGCCTACCGCTCCCAGGGCGCGCTGCAGCCCGGCCTGCTGCTGGGCAGCGCCGTGGCCGTGCTGGCGGTGCACGGCGCCGGCAACCTGGTCAACACCTACTACGACTTCTCCAAAGGCATCGACCACAAGAAGAGCGACGACCGCACGCTCGTGGACCGCATTCTGGAGCCGCAGGACGTGGTGCGCTTCGGGGTCTTCCTCTACACGCTGGGCTGCGTGTGTGCCGCCTGCCTCTACTGCCTGTCGGCGCTCAAGCTCGAGCACCTGGCGCTCATCTTCTTCGGGGGACTCTCCGGCTCCTTCCTGTACACCGGAGGTGAGACCCGGCCTGGCTAGGTGCTCCACAGGGGGTCTAGGGCTGGCCATGCTACCCAGGGTGCCTAGGGACGGGCTTGGCTGTGATTCCACGGTGATGGGGGCCTGGCCGTGCTCCTGAGGGGGTCTGGGAGGCCAGACCTGGTCGTACTCCCTGGGGGGTCTGGTATGGCCACGCTACCCAGGATGTTCGGGGCTGGGCCCGGCCCTACTCTTCTCCCTAGAAATCCCAGGGGATATAACCTGCCTCTACTTCCCAAGGGGGCATTGAGGGACTGGGCCTATCTCTGCTGTCCAGGGAGGGCTTGGTACCTCAGAGCAGTCACTGCTCATCCCTGGGCTGGCCTTGGCACCACTCCCTATGTGCAAGGGGACCTTGGATTAGTCATTTCTTTTTCCTGATCCTGAGGTTCCTCTTGTGTAAAGTGAGGAGCTTGGGTGGGAGCACCCCTAAGGCTGACAGCAGTTAGTGATTTGAAAGGGAAGGTGCCACCTTCCAGACCCCAGGACCATTTTCTTTTCTCTTGGGTGGACATCCCTTAAAGGGGCTTCTCTTGCTCACCAGGGCCCTTAATGCTGTTTCATAATCTTGAGGTCACAATTTAGAAAGTCATCAAACCACCACTTTAGGAATGTGGCTCTGGCACTAGAAGATGTTCTCCCTTTGGCCATAATTTCTAGGGGTTGTTGTTTTAAAGAGGAGAGCAGGCTTTGATTTTCAATTCAGTTTGACAAATATTTCTTAAGTGTCAGGCTCTGGGGATAGAGAGACAAAAAAAAAAGGTTTCTCTCCAGAAGCTTCTGCAGATACCCCAAAGCAAGGAGAGGGACTGTGGAGTTTGAAGAGTAGGCTGGGGGGGGGTCACTTTGGTTGGAATGGAGGGTGTGTGTTGGGGAGGTGGGGCAGCAAGGCGAATCGCTCTGGAAAGGTAGGCTGACTTCAGTTTATACATAGGGGACATTAAATCCTAGGCAGTTACTAAGGCCTTAGGGGAGCAGACCTTTCTGTGTCTTAGGAAGATGATTTTGGCAGCTCTGGAGAATGGACCAGATAGACTCTGGCAGCAGAGGGATCCCTTACGAGACTGTTACAGTAGTCCAGGTGATGAGGTCCTGAACTAGGGGGTGTCCTTGTGAGTGGAGGAGAGGGCTTCTAGAGATGTTTGGAGGTGGGAGAGATGAAATAGAGCAGCTGTTTGGGTGGGGTAGAGAGGTAAGGGACTGGAGAGTTTCCATATGAGAGTGGTCAAGATGGGGCACTGTCTGGTCTCCACACCAGTCTGCAGAGCAGGAACTGGGGCTGTTTTAGCCTACAGGAGAAAAGGCTTAAGAAGGGGACAGGATGACAGTCTTCAAGTCTTCTGAAGAGAGCTTAGACTTAACTTTGTTTAGGTCTGCCCAGCTAAACCACAGGCAGTGGGTGGAAGCTGATAAAAACAGAAACAAAACCGCAGAAGGGGGGAGGAGTGGGAGGTCTGTAGACCAATGCTGAGTTGCCACTGGATTCTTGTTCAGGTCTCCATTGTACTAGATCCCAGAACCCTGAGGGTCCTTGCAACCCTCAGATTCTCTGTCCTGGGGGAGATAGGATGCAGATAACTGTTTTAGAGCCAAGGAAGCAGGATGAGGAGTTAGGGGCAGGGTTTGCCAGTCAGCATTGAAGTTTTGCCCTCTTCAGGAAAGAGTAAGGCAGATAGATGGCAAGAATTTGTGAGACTTGCCATAGCCAGGGTTTGGTATGTGTCTACCTCCAGGAATTTTTTAAAATTGGGGTATGGCTGCTGAGCATGCTACAGCTTCTTTAAGCCACAGGTGAGAGTTGGGTGACTCAGTGGTCAGCCTGTACACCAGCTAAACCAGGCTGAAGGTGGCTGACAGGCCTCAGATCCGGCGGTGAGTTAGAAGGATGTGTACCCCAAGCGTGTGAAGACGTCCTCTGGTGGAATGGGCGGATGAGGACAGTTTGTTCCAGCAGCCATGAAGGCGGCTGAAGCAGGCCCTGTGGAGCGCTTAGAGCTTGGCCAGACATCAAAGATGCCAAGGTCATCCACTGCGTCCTGGGCCACTGCCAGTCATCCTGAATTTTGTCTTGCCACTGGACTTCAATGACTCTGAAAGAGAGAGTGAGAAATAAATTAACAAGAATTTTAAAAAAGAGAGAAAGAGAGAGAGTGAGGCAGAAGCCTTTGAGCAGCTCTGCCTCACTCAAGTTGAGTTTATGCTCGAGTCGAGACATCCCCTGTGATATCATTGGTCCTCTTGGACAATGAAGGACAAACGACATCTCTGGGAATCGTGCCAAGCCCTTCCATGGGCTGAGCTCTATTTCCCGAGTATAGCTTTTGTCATGATACCATGTCGCATTTCAGGAACACTTGTATTGACTTGTTGCTGACTAAAATAATGTAGCAAGACCAGAGGTTGAACTTAAGAGCATACAAGAATGAGAGAATGAAAGAGCCTGGTTTTGTTCTTATCTAGTACTAGAAGGGCAAAAGGCAAAGGTGGATGTAAATGGTTAGGCTTTTTCTCTGATTCTGCAGGCTCACTCAGCATGTACTTAAGCAGATCATCGTGACTTTGACCATGATGCTGAGCAAAGTGGCTCACTGGTCCTCCTGGTCTGCCTCAGAGGTTAGAAGTAACGTAAATGACTCACAGATGCAAGGTGATGGATATCTTGAGTCATACTGGATTATGAAGGAGAACCCAGGGGCTGCTCTTGAAAGCTGGCTGATGTAGGGTGAGGAAGTGTGATTGCCTCCCATCCTCAGGGAATCTACAAGCGAGAGAATGCCCATGGAGGAAAGAGCCAACCCTGAAACCCTGGCAGTGAATGTGGCTTGTGTGTGATTCCAGCTTCCCTTCTCCAGGGCAGTGGCCTTGGAACCTCAGCTGATTCAGAGACGTTCTGCTCGTTCTGTGCCTTTTTGCTTGTTTCAGTGGGGCCCAGGGGTCTCTTGATTAGTCACATGTCCATTTGGGGTGGGGTTAGGTTCATTTAGGAGGTGCTGAAGGCCATGGACAGACCCAGAGCTGAAAACTCCCTCTTGATCCTGGTGCAGACAGAAGTGATGGCGGAGCAGAGACTCACACACTGGGGTGATTCCTGCTGAGCTGTGTACACAGCGGGTGCTTAGCAAGGGAGAGCTCCCGTGATGGAAAATGCCATCCACAGCCAGAGAAAGAACTGTGGAGTTGGAATGCAGATCAAAGCAGACTTTGCTATTTTTTTTTCTTCTGTTGAGTTTTGTTTCCTCTTTCTGGTGGTTCCTTCTATTGGTTCTAATTCTTACTTACAACAGAATTAATGTGAAAATATGTTTAATAGCAATGTATATGTATAGCCTATATCAGATTGCGCCCCGTCTTGGGGAGGGTGGCGGGGAGGGAGAGGGAGAAAAATTTTCAACTCCAAAGCTTATGGAAGTGATTGTTGATAAATCAAAATAAATTTTAAAAAAAAAGGGAGGGCTCTCAGTGGGAAGGAACAGATTCTCAGGGAAATAAAAAGGAGGATTTGGTCCTCGTCCCCCAGCCTCATTTGGCACTTCATTTTATAAATTCTGACGCTTTCATCATGTAGCATTAGGATCACAGTCCTGGTTGGAAGGGACCTCACAGGTCATCTACTCCAACCTCCTTGTTTTACAGGTGATGATGGTGAATGATAGCTAACATATCTGTGGAGCTTATTATGTGCCAAGCGCTGTGATAAGCACAGTAGAAATATTGTTTAATCCTCACTACAGCCCAGGAAGGTAGATGCTGTTATTTCCATTTTACAGTTGAGGAAATTGAGGCAGACGGAGATAAAGCCACTTGCAATGTATCACAGTTAGCAAAGGTCTGAGGTAGGATTTGAACTCATCAGGTCCTACCTCCAGGCCCGGCACTCTGCGCAGTTCAGCCCCCGTTGGCCCAGATGAGGCAGCCGAAGCTGGCAGAGGCTAGTACCCACTGTGTCAGTGTCTTGCCCTCCTGCAGATTGTATGGCCTTTGAGGTCAGGAAACAGCTTATTTAAACTTCCTATCTCATCTAGCATTTAGCAGGGTATCCTGAACAGAGTGGGTGCTTAATAAATGTTCGTTAGGTAATATTAAGAGAGTCGTTGGTGTATCTACAGGGGGCATGCTTAGAAACAGATTAATTAGTAATCCTTCTACCCCTTTGCTGTGTCTGAGAACAAATCAGTTTTTGCCCTCGACACTGTTTAAGGATTGATGGGCTTGCTGTGCTGTTTCAAGTTGCCTTTCCTTTTGCCTTTTCCTTACAAAAGACAGTATGATTGAGGTAAACTGTTCTGGTTTGAAAAAAAAAAAGTCTCCTTAGTTAGCAGTCTTTGATTTCATGTCAACTCTTTGTGTTTTCTGGCCATAGGAATTGGATTCAAATATGTGGCTTTGGGCGACCTGATCATCCTCATCACCTTTGGTCCACTGGCCGTCATGTTCGCCTATGCCGTGCAGGTGGGCTCCCTGGCCATCTTCCCGCTGGTCTACGCCATCCCCTTGGCCCTCAGCACTGAGGCCATCCTCCATTCCAACAACACCAGGGACATGAAGTCTGACAGAGAGGCCGGCATCGTCACCCTTGCCATTCTTATTGGCCCCACCTTCTCCTACATACTCTACACCGCCTTGCTTTTCCTGCCCTACCTCATCTTCAGCATCTTGGCCACGAGATACACCATCAGCATGGCGCTACCCCTGCTCACTATTCCCATGGCCTTTTCGCTTGAGAGACAGTTCAGGAGTCAGACCTTCAACAAATTGCCCCAGAGGACTGCCAAGCTCAACCTCCTGCTGGGGCTCTTCTACGTCTTTGGCATCATCCTGGCACCAGCAGGGTCTCTACCCAGGCTCTGAAGGGACCAGGGGTTCTCTGCTGCCTGCCCCTCTCAATGGAATGGGACTCTCTGGCTCAGCGTTGAAACCGGAGTATCTGAGAACAGACCTTCCACCCTTTGGGGGCAACAGACTCCTCATACGCTAGCCGTGTTTTTTTCACAGTCCTTAAAAGGAATTTTATTTGAATGAGCCAGGTGCGTGATGTTCCCAGTTTCCACTAGGGGGCAGTATCAGGTCACTCTGAAATGGAGCTGTCCCTTCCTCTTTGAGTACTCAGAGGGCTTTCTGTGTGGCTTAGCCTCTCACCTCATCATCCCCCTTCAGTTAGGACCATAATTGCTGGGTACTTCTTCGGATCCTCGTTTAAGCTCTATTTTCATACTGCTCTTGGCCTTACATGATTAGTAAGTAGCAGGCTCAGTTAACATGGGCAATGTCTGTCTCTCATCACTCGGACTCTGGTACAGAAAAGTGCTGAGAAAGTCCCTCATTAACAGCCCAGTGTACTCAGCAGTCTTGGCCCCTGGATGCATTCACTCTCTTGTCAGTTGCCACAATTGACTAAAAATGTCAGGTCACCCTTTAGCAAAGGACTTAGCTGGGGATGAGGAGAAAAAACAGGCCCCAGAAGGACACTCTGCTGGTTTGTGTAGAGAAGGGAAGAGTGGCTGTTTCCTTTGTAGGAATGCCTAAAAAGACAGACAGGATTAGGAGTTTCAGTTACCATTGGCCTGCAAACTTTAGGAGCAATGACAGCTTGGTAGGCTGTTTGAGGGGATTCAAGATGCTGTTTTCCCTTCACCAATGCTCAGTCCCTCCCCTTGAATGTTTCTTTTGAATACCCTTGTCCAGTTTTCACCTGGAGGAAAAGAAATTAGCATGTACTAACTAGATTTCCCGGTCAGAGCTTAAGAACTGTTGTAGAGATGATACTTTGTTCACTGGTAAGCAGACTAGGCGCATAAATCCTTATCGTTCCCAGGTCAGGCCAGAGGGCCATTTCTGACCCAGAGTAGGCCAAGTACAGCTAATTTACTTTGTCTCTTTGAAGCAGATGCAATTTTGACACATCTTCACCATAGGATGCTCGAGATGAAGCCTGGGGAGGACCTTGCTGAGGACACATTAAAAATGAGATGGGTTTTGTGCTTGGCTTCCATTTTCCCAAGGACAGGTGGTGCTTCTGAGACTGCCTTTGCTCACTTAAATGATTAAGGTCCAGGACTGAGATCCCATAGGGTGCTAGATTCATCTGCATTCTGTGCTAGGGCATGATGGCATCATCTGATCAACCCAAAACACATGTATCTCCCATCCTGACAGCAGCTGTAAGGCTTTCATGTCCATGGCAGTGGTGTAAACCCCAGCTGGTGGGCCAGGGTCGCTGCACAGATCACAAAACTTGACTGCCGGGCCAGAGTCGGTCACGTCTTAAGGAGGAGTGTGGAGACCGGGAAGGGTTGTGGTGCCAGGACAGAAACCAGCAGCAAAGAGAAAAGGCGACATCTTCCTTGGCACTCTTTCCCCAAGACTTTTTAAAGAAATGCCCAGGTTGTGGAGCTATAGGTGCTCCTTTTGTCCTTATGTGGAGCGGCCCCTTTTAGAACTCACCCCTTGAGGTCTGAGCCTTTAGTTGATCCAGGTTAGCCACCACTGCCTGGCCCCTGCCCCCTCAGTCTCATCAGCCTGCGTGCTAGAGTTTAGTGCCGATTTTAATACATTTTTGATACATATGCACTCTGACGAAGCCAAATTTGGTACTGAGTTTTATACACAGCTCACCATGTATTTATATGGCTGTCCTTGATTCAGTGATGTTTTCTTAGTCTTGATTAAAAAAAAAAAAGAGAATTCACTCCTCACTGGTCTCTGGCTTCTCTTTGCCTTCTACCAGCCGCCTTTTCCATTGGGTCTCTTGGGGTCCCTGGAACATGTGAGAGATAGGTGTTAGCCCAAAATCATGTTTAATTCAATGTGCTTAGCAAAATTGTTTTTGTAGGTTAGCTAAGCCATCCCTATCTAGAGAATATATTCTGGCTCCATCCTCTAGAAGGCTGTTCTGTGTCACATGTAGAATTAGAAAATCCAAGTATTCAGAGCTGGAAGGGAACACACGCATAGCAACACTAATTACATTAGCCTGCTCTTTGTGTAGCCCTGTAGCATATGAGGCAATTTAAGCATGCCTTCAGAATTCTTGATTTCAGAAACCTAGGAACTCTACTTTCCTTTCGAGCAGAGACACAAAGAACTGGGTTCTTGTCCAGCTTCTGTGTGACTGGTCAGGTCAGGACTGGGGAGACAAGGATCTGATTCATTTCAATCCAGCCGGCCCTGATGAAGCTCTTCTGTGTGACAGACTTATTAGCACCAGAAACTCAGAGGCAAACGGTTTTGGTCTTCAGGGAGCTGACATATGTCACCGTGACTACTCTTTCATACATTCTCCCCATCAGTCTCAGGATACAGCTGACCTTGAGAACCGGGACATCTTACAAAGAGCCCAGCTTTCCTATAATAATAGCATTCCTAGAGCTCGAAGGTTTGCAAAGTGCTTCACAAATACTTCATTTTACCCTCCCCAAACCCCTGAGAGATAGATGTTATTATCCCCATTTTACTGATGAGAAAATAGAAGCAGAGGTTAAATGACTTGCCCAGGGTCACACAGCTAGTAAGTGTTTGAGGCTGGATTTGAACCCAGGTCTTCCTCATTTCAGGTTCAGTGTTTTCTCTCCCTTGTGCCACCCAGGTTGGTCAGCCTCTATGACAGTGAAAGTGATGGGAATGACTGGCTCAAAGCATTCTCATGTGTTTTGGGTGTGTGTGTGGGGGGGTAACTTACAGCTGTAGTGGGTTGCAAACGATTGCTACCTCAGTTTTCTATCAAACTCTATCAGCTTAATGCTGAGCTAAACGTCTATACTGAGTCACCAAGTCAAGCTGGAGGAAGCTTCTCCAACTTGGTCCCCTATTGGGGGCAGCTGAGGGAAAAGAAAATAGTAAGGTGAGCTCTGGGCTCTCCCTACCAAAGCCGACCCAGTTCTGACTGCTCTGGAATAGGGCTGTGGTGGTGAAAAGAGGGCCGTTCCTAGAAAGTCTAAGGCTTTGTTCTGAATTCCACCGATTGTTGGCAGTGAGCTCAGCAGAGTCCCAGGACCATCCCTCAGAACTGCCTCCTAAGTGAGCGGGGCTGTTCTCTTCACTTGCAAAGGCCTCTCTTACCTGAGTGGTGTTCTTTCTCTGTCTCTGTCTTTTCTCTCTCTTTCTATCTCTGGCTCTGTCTGTCTCACTCTCTCTTTCCCCTCCCGCTATCTCTCCCCCTCTTTCCCTCCTCTCTTCTCCTTTCCCTCTGTCTCTCTTTCTCTCCCCCTCTCTCTGTCTCTGTCTCTCCCTTCTCTCTCTCCCTTCCCTTTCTCTCTCTCTCTCTCTCTCTCTCTTTCTCTCTCTCTCTGTCTCCTCTCTTTCCCCCTCTCTCCCTCTCCCCCTCTCCCCCTTTCCCCTTCATACTTAGATCCCTCTCCTTTGTGTCATATTCATCTTAGCATTGGAGTTAGAGATCTGAGCTGGGAACTCAGAGGCTGCCCTGCCCTTTCTTTTCGGTTGAGGAGTCGGGGCTAGGGAAGTAAGTGACTGGTCTGATGTCACCCAGCCAGTGTGTGTTGGAATCTAGGCCACCCTTCTGTTTCATTACCCAGCTCTACCTCTTACCTTGCACACAGTAAGGGAGAGGGGGCTGAGACAGTGATCTCACTGGTTTAAAGAACCCCTCGGTAAAGACACTCTCCCCAGTGCAGGTCAGCACCCTCTCAGTACCTTCTACTCTTAGACAGTTGAGAACACGGAGGTTAAGTAAATTATTCTGGGTCACTCAGCCAGTAGGTGTCAAAGGCACATAGCAAGTAGTTAATAAATGTTTGTTGAGTTAAACGTTAGACATTAATCTCTCTGCCAGTTGTAATGAGCTCAGCTGCTATTGATAGCTTGTGTATATGTATGTGTGTGAGGATGTTTGGGACACATGCACACACACACATATACATGTAATTGATTTCACCCTTCAAAGTCCTTGAAATGAGAATGGCAGACAGCTCTGGTCTGAAGCACTGGAGAAAGCCACACTGCTGATGGGCTGGCATCCTTTGGTTATGGGGTGGGGCTCTTTACTATGGATGGGTGGAAAACCAGTGCCTCTGGCTATAACTTGGTACTCAAGGACTTAGCTTGATGCCCACTGTGGCTAAGCAGTCAGTCCAGTCAATCAACATTTATTAAGCACCTACTATGTGCCAGGCAACAGGCTAAGCATGGGGGCAGTCCTTGCCCTCAAGGAGCTCACAATCAAACTGGGGAGCCAACAAGCAAACAAATACGTACCAATGAGTTATACAGGGAATCGTTTGGAAATAATCCACAGAGGTAAGGAAGGCACCAGCATTAAAGGAGATCAGAAGAGGCTTCTTGTAAAAGGTGGGGTTTAGCTGGAGGAAGCCCAGAGGCAGATTAGAGGAGCATGAGCATTCCAGGCCTGGGGGACAGCCAGAGCCAATGACTGGAGCCGAGAGATGCAGGGTCTAGTTCTAGGAAGCGCCAGGAGGTCGGTGTCCCTGGGTTACAGAGTAGGGGGCTGAATAAGGTGTAAGAAAACTGAAAGGGCTTTGATTATGGAGGTGATAAGGAGTCCCTGGAGTTGATGGAGTAGGGGGTAGCATGGTTATGTCTGTGCTTTAGGAAGCTCACTTTGGCAGCTGAGTGGAGGTGAGACTGGAGGCAGAGAGACGAACCATCTGGTTGGCAGCAGCGTAGGAGGACAGAGGTGGTGGATATGAGAGATGTTAGGGAGGTCAAATCGACAGGCCTTCCTTGGCAACGTTGGATATGGGGGGGGGAGGGAGAGAGGGAGGAGCTGGGGCTGCCACCTGGGATGCCAAACAGTGGTGTCAGTTTAAAAGTCAGGAGCACCCCAGGGAGCGCCAGATGCCAGTTCAGTGCCCTCCAGGTGGGTCCTCCCCAGCAACGGCAAATGGGAGAAGCTGGAAACAAAAGCCTATAATTTAATTTTAAGCACAGCAGTTCTAGCTTGTGCATCCTGGAGCTAACCTCGCACATGCCACAAATTCCAAGCCTGGATCCAAACCCTCTGAGGCTCTAAGAATAGGGATGGGATGATCTTCTGTGGTCCCAGGCTAGTCCCTCTCCCCACCCCCACCCCAGAATCTCAGAAAATGCCTAGGGGAGGAGTTGGTTCTGGGCTCCACCAGCGATGGTCATGAACTCAGGGAGGCAGGGCAGAGATGGAAAAGGGCAGCCACCCACAAGAGTGATTCCACATCAGCTGGCCATCTGATTACTATGACCATGGCCTCCCCTACTCCACCAATCAGAATTGAACTTTTAACCGTTATTGTCCCTAATGTGTTAGCCAACAAAAGGAGAGGGACGGGGGAGGGGGAAGGAGCAAAGAAGGAAACAGGAACAGGGAAAGAGGGGAGGGAGGCAAGGGACCAGGTGTGTATGGTGGGTCTTCGAAGCAGAAGGGCCTGGGTTTGAATCCTGCCATTATGACTGAGCAATTAATTCAATTGAACATTTTCTCAGGGCTTATTTAATTTGATCATCACAACAATAGTTGATACTTTTATAGGGCTTTTTACGGTTTACAAAGTGCTCTGTATATTGTCTCATTTGAGCCAGATGTTGTTGCTTCCACATAGTATCATCCCTATTTTACAGATTAGGAAACTGAGGCTGAGAAAGATTAAATGATTCACTGGTCATACAACAGGTAGGCATCTGAGATCTTCTGGACTCTAAAGCCAAAGCTCTAGGCAGTTAGATGCTGAAGGCTGTACCTGGAATCGGGAAGATCTGATTAATAGTTGTATGACCTTGGGCAAGTCATTAACCTCTATGTGCCTCAGTTTCCTCCTTTGTAAAATGGGGATAATAATGCCACCTGTCTTCCAGTGTTGTTGTGAAGATCAAATAAGACAATAATTGTAAAGTGCTTAGCACAGTGCCAGGCACATAGTAAGTGCTACGTAAATGTTAGCTATAATAATAATAAATTATTGTTTATTTATAAGTTATTATGTAATATAATAATTTATAATGATTATAATATATCGATATGATGTTGTAATATATTGTATATAATATTAATAATATAATAATATATTAAAATATAGAAGTTATTATTATCCCCTATGCCACATTGTCTCTCAACCACTTGAAGCAAGTATCACTGTCACAGTTTGACAGATGAAGAAACTGAGGCTTAAAATGATTAAGGCCAAGGTTAATAAGGGGGAGGACAAGGACTGAAAGCCAGGTCTTCTATGGTGTTGACTGGACCACACCTCATGGCCTTCCTAAACAGATGGTGATGACAATCTGCCATGGGTCATAGAGGCTAAAGGTGAATTTGGGGATCATGAGGCCAGAGAGAGACTCAGAATCCCTGGAGCATGTTTGCAGGACCTTTTTGCAGGAAGTAGCACAGCCACCAGAAAGTAAACCAGAGCCTGTTGGCTGGCCGGTCCCCACCAGATAGAGCAATTTCCTTGGAAACAGGCATTGGAGGCCAGCTGTCCCCAGATGCCTGGCTGGAGAACCTCCCCATAATCTCTGCCGGAGGAAGTGGATCGACCAAGTTTTCCTTGCTCGGCCGCCGTTGGCCACTTGGGTGGGCAACTGGCACACAGATAGAGGCCTGCCGAGGGGTATTCCAAGTGCTGCCAAGGTCAAAGCTGTCTGAGAAATTAAAAATCCATGATACTCCCTAGCTGGGAAGCAAACAGGAGGGTTTGGCAGGGCTTTTAATCAGCCGCAGCTGCCAATACCTAATCAAGACAAACGGCCC